CCTCCCCGAGCTGGGGCAAATTCCCTTCTGGGACTACAGTTTCCAGAATCCCCTCGTGTTGGGGGTGCTGGGAGTTGTCCCCCCCCAAAAGTAACTTTCACAAGTTTTGCGACATCTGCTGGAAAGCAAGGGCTGGCTACTTTCCAAGCCTAAGAACTGACCTCTTCCTCAGTGTGGGGGTACGGGGGGGGGAGAGGAGGGCTGGGACCCACACACACACCTGTGATCTGACTCCCTGACCCCCCCCAAAAAACTTTTGAAGGATGCCTCGGCTGTTTAGGTGTTGGAAAGAGACCGAAGCAGCACTGGGGTGGCTGGCGTGGGGTGGGGTGGGGCTGGCTCTTTAGAGCTGGGGTGGAGTGAGGGCCGGATCGCTGCCCTCCTAGCAGGAAGGGGGAAGCCCCCTCCAGGGGGTGCAGAAGAGCCTCCCCCCCCCAAGCTAGGCGTTGTCTAGGGAGACTAAGGTGAAGTCCAACGCCAGCCCTGAATGGGATGCGAGGGGTTTTCAGGGGCTGCTCCCCTCTGCTCCTTCTCCAGCAGCCCCTTCCATCTGCCAGCAATGGAGGGGACGGGGCTGTGCCCCACTTGTCCCCCCCCCAAAAAACGTGGCACCCACCCCCTATGCCTTTCTCCCCAGCCTGCTGCCAGCTGCTCCAGCTCCTGCTCTCCTTGCTGATCCTCATCTGCAGCTCCGTCTCCTACAACGACTCCGGCGGCTACACAGGTCTCTTCAGCTTGGGCGGCCTTTACTACTACGAGTACGGGGGCGCCTACAGCGGCTTCAGTGGGGCCGACGGGGAGAAGGCCCAGCGGCTGGACGCCCAGTTCCACCAGCTGAAGCGGCCGCCGGCCCGGGCGGCCATGGCGGTGGGAGGTGCCCTCCTGGCTTTCACTTGCCTCCAGATTGGGGCCGGACTCTGGCGGGTGCCCTGGCGCTGCCCGGCCTGGCTGATCGCCGAGGCCTTCCTGGACGGGGCCGTTGCCCTCGGCCTGGCGCCTGCCCTTTACTTCTATTACCAACACCTCCACGCCGTCTATTCCTCGCCGGTGTGCAAAGAGCGAGAGAGCCTCTACAGCAGCAAAGGCTACCGGGGCTTTGGCTGCGGCGTGCACGGCGCCGAGATAGCTGTGGGACTCTTTGCCGCCGGGGACGCGGTGGCCTTCCTGCTCACGGCGTTCCTGGCTGTGCGGGCTTTCCGCACCATCCGGAGTCTCCGATCAAAGCCGGTGGACGTGGACGACCTCTAGCCGGTCCGCTTTGGAGAAGCTGGAGCTGAGGTCTCGACCAAGTTAGGCAGGGTAGTTTCAGAATATGGGGGGTGGCGGGGAGCGCAGGAGCCCGCTAAGCCGGCAGAGAAGTGCCTTAGTACTGCGTACCAGGGAGGATGCCATCTTCAGAGTCAGGACGTTTGGCGTTATTGGGAACCCCCTCCCTCCCCCATCCCCATAGCCGCACTGAGCCATTGCAGCGATGAGTAGACTTCTCACCCGCCGCCCTATTGCCTTACCCAAATGAAAGTGCGCACACAAACACACCCCAATTCCATCTTTGGCCTGTGAAGTCACTGCAGGGTCCACGTCTAGCAATCCCTTGAGCCCCGGATGGAACGATTCGAGTCTCAGATGGGGTGGTGAAAAGATCCACGCACACCACCTTCCTCTGCTCTTCTAAAAGGACAGCTGGGACTCCCCATTTCTGCCTCTGAGGAGCTTCTCCGGGACAACCTCTTTCCAAGTGCAATTATGAAATGTACAGAACTTTTGAAATGGCACCCCATAATAAAACTACTGATGGTTGTGCCTTTCTTCAAGCCACGTCCTTCAGCTGCTCCTGTGAGCAGAATGTTCGGGGTGGGTGAGGGGTGGAGCCGTTATTGACCGCAGCAAATGGTCCAGTGGCCTCTTATGGACTAGTAACACTTCATTTGGCAGATGTTTCTGTGGCCTGTAACCCATTTCTTCTTCTTACATGGGCAGTGGGTCTATGAATGATAACAATGTGCCAGCAAGTTGATTCTGACTTATAGCGACGTTTTCCAGGCATAGAGTACTCAGAAGTGGTTTAGCCTTCCTTTCTTCTGGGGTTCTGCAGCTCAACCAAGGCTACAGAGGCTGGGTCTTCTTCTAGGAGGAAGAGCAGTGAATTGAACTTCCACCTTTGGCTGTGCACTCAAGCACCCAACCGGCCAAGCGATCTACGAAACCTTAAGCTAAATAAAAATGGTTAGGTCATATCTGACTCATGACAAACCCTAATAGTTTTCAAGTTAGGTGAGGTATTTAAGGAGTGAGTTTTCAAGTTAGGTGAAGTATTTAAGGAGTGACTTCATCAAGATGACACACACGGTGAGTTTCCATAGCAAGGATTTCAGCTCCGGTTTCCCGAGTCCTAGTCCACCATACCATACTTCCTCAAGATGACACACACGGTGAGTTTCCATGGCAAGGATTTCAGCTCTGGTTTCCCGAGTCCTAGTCCACCATACCATCCTCTAGGCTGCAGGGGCAGCTCTGCTAGCCTTTTAAGATATTACAATACTGCTTTTTAAAAAAAATTAAAAATCCAGAAAGCAACTGATGTTGGACACGAGGATCTAGGCAATGGAATGCAGAAGCTGGTACTTGTAGCATCTCCAACCCAAAGCGTGATCAGATGGTGTCGAATCTGCAGCTACAGAGGGCAGTTTTCCCCAGAAAGATGCTTTGCTGTAGTACCTTCCCAAAATAAAGTTCATTTACATAGAAAACAAGGAAGCGGTTGGGTTTGGAGCCAGCCCAGAAAACATTAACAAGCAACAAGGTCACAGTTTGCCTCTTGCATAAGAGAATGGCACCAGGGGCTGCCAGTTTTCAGGACCCCCTACCCATCACAGGAGAAAGGGGTTCCCTCAAGACATGGGACTGCCCCCCCAAGATGATCTGGGGGTGGCCAGAGAGGAAGCAGCCAACCTGTGGCTGGAGCTAGGAACGCTTCTCAAGTGACCCCACTAGAATAGGTTCAGTACAAGGTCTCCATTCAGCTCCACTGCCTCCTAGCAGAGAGGCTCGCTCTTTCTTCATAGGCCGTCTACTTATCCTTTCTTCTGCCTGCTTTTTTTTTTTTAAAAAAACTCTTTTCTCCAAAGCTGACAGGCAGGATTCTACCCCCACCTCTCTTGGTTCCCCAAGAGCACTTCATGAATCTGACAAATTGCGTGCTGACAAACGGTGCAATTTACACCGAATCTCCTTAGTTTTTGAAGAATCACAAAACTTTGTCAAGGGAAAAAGGGGCAGGACTTTCCCTGAAATCCCCACTCCCTTTTGCAGAGCAGGTACAAGCTCATTCCCCAGCAATTTCGTTGGCCATAAATGAGATTTACATTGTCAAGAATGCCCGGGAGGTTTGCTAAAGCACCGTCCCCTCCTCCTTTCCCTTTTGGGTGTAATTTCCTTTGTCACAAACACAGGACTGGTCTTAGCTGCAAGAAAAGCCAAACTGGATCAAATCAAAAAACATTCTAGCGCCAACCAAGTGCTCCGAGCAATATTTCAGCTCCCCAGCAACTGAAAGAGAGAGGCAACCTATTTCTGAGTCTGGGTGTAGCACATTAGTAGCCACTGTTGGCTTTTAAGTCTTCCTAAGTTTGTCAAATCCCCGTTTGGGGAAGCCGCTGCTTTGGTGTGAGCAAAGGCATCTCCTGGCCCGTTTTGCACCACCTTTGCCTGGTCCACCATGTGGTCACCAACACAAGAGTCAACTCTTGCTTCTGCTAGAAAACTGGGCTGTCCAAGTGTAAGAAACAGAGATGACAAAGCCTCTATCAGGAGCTGCAAAACCAGCTTCTAAAAGCAGGAGGAAAAAAAAACCCTAGTTAAACTGCATGGTCTTTTATTTCAGTGCCAATATTACAGATACAACACAAACGTCCCAGGAGAAGAACGAATTCAAATGGAATCCAGGACTCTGACAGACTCAGGAAATGAAGAGGGCTGAGGGAGGGAAAGCAGCTTTGCAGTGGAGTCTGAGATGAGTCTTTCTTGTGGGCAAAAGGCGGAGGGCCCCCTTCTCCTTCACCTCTTGGTGTGTGGCTCACCCCTAGCTTTCCTACCCACCCGACCACAGTTGATAGCCAAGGACCAGAGAGAGAAAAAAAAGAGTTCCAAGATTCAGGGTGGGGACATGCTGAAGAGCGACTTGCTGGAGCAGTTCATCTCATCCCTTGTGATGCCTCTTCTCAGACAGGCCCCGGACAAAGAAGGGCTTAGCGGTGCGGCCCCACCTCCGTCGCCAAATCCTCCCGGCACAGCTTCTGTCCGGAACCGCAGCTTCACATGCCCATCGTCCCCGTCTCAGACTTGGGAAGGGGGGCTGCCCTCAGGGGGTGTGCAGTCAAGCATAGAAAAGCCCTTCCCTGCCCCCCAAATGTCGGGGAACCCCTTCCCCCCCAGGGAAGGGTCACCAGCATTCTTGAAAGACGTTTCCAACACGAACCGTGGATGAAAAAGTGCCTGACGATGGAGAAGCGGCGAAAGGAGGAGCCGCACCAAGACCCACCTCACTCACTCTCTCACCCACCGGAGAGGAGATGGCAAGAAAAGAGAGAGAGAGGAGGAAACAGCCGCTCCCCTGTGGGTGGGGGCAGGAGGGAGAGCACAGGGCCCCCCCTCAGTGTCCCTCCCCCATCCCTTTGTCCAAACACAGGGAATGGGGCTTCGGTGTCAGGTGTGGCTCCGTGGCCAGGAGAGGAAAAGAAGAGGAAGAGGAGGAGGAGGAGGAGGAGGGGAGAGAGCGAGCCAGTGGCTCCAGAGATATGCTTGGAAGTGAGCAAGGCCAGTCCTCCTGCTCTGCAGCAGCAGCGGCGACGGCGGCAGCAACTCTCAGGAGCTTCCCAGGTCCCAGCGCAGATCAGGGAGGCCGGGAGTCGCGGCGCTCTGCCCAGCGTTCCTTCGTTCCGGTGGGGTGAGGAGGGTGGGGGCCCCCGAGCTCCTCATTGCCAGGACTGAGCGGGGAAGGTGTTGACTTCTGCCAGGTCTTGCATCGCTGAGCCCTTGTGGTTATACGTCAGCTTAATCCGCATGCGGAGCTGTTGCTGCAAAGGGAACACCGCCAGGAGGGGCACCCCGGGATCAGCTCAGCTGCTTCTTCCCAAACACCCCCCCAATTTCTTTCGGCATGTTTGACCACAGGGTGCCGGAGGTCTCCTCCCTACCCCACCTTGCAAATCAGATGCCCCCGCCCCCCAAAAAAGGACGAAAATGCAGCCTGTGATGGCCGCCACTCCACTCTCCCAGGCAACAGAGCAGCCCACCGAGGCCCGCTCGCTCGCTCACCTTCTGGGGGTTCAGGACTTTGATGACTTGTGTGATGGTCCCTGTGTTGAACGCTGGGATGACGCTACTGCTGGGGGACAGGAGCTGCAGCTGGAATGTCTGGAGGGAGGTAAAGGCAGAAGCAAGGAGGTGGGTCGCACTCCCTCCTCTGGGGTCCCTGCTGGAGGCTCCGGCTCAGCTCCGAGGGAGAGACAGGACGCTTGGCCCAGCTTCGCTCTTTAGAACATGCCCTCCCTCCTCCTGACACAGCTGAAAACCAGGCCACGTTGGGTGTGTGTGTGGGGGTGTAGCGGCGGCAGTAACGTGCCTCTCGGAAGCAGGCGGTCCGGAGCGGCAGTGGGAATGCTATGGAACCAAACGTTCAAGGCTCAAACGCTTTTCCTCCCAAGGCCTGGCTCACCTTTGGTACCGCAGCCTGGAACACGAAGTCCGTCATGTCCATCTCGGTGCTGTTGGAGGCCTGTATTGTGATCACGGTGACGCTGGGGTTGGTGTTGGAGCGCTCGAAGGCAAAGTCGATCTTGAGGCCATTCTTGTTGTAGGCGGTGATGGGAGGGATTCCTGTGGAGAGGCCGTGCTTGCTCAAAGACTCTGGGAGACCATCTAGTCTCCCCTCCCCGGCAACATCCATGCCCTGCCGCCATCAGAGACAGGCGGACCGCCAGAACGAGGGAGAGCGGGTGGCTGCTCCCAGGCCTCTGGAGCTCCTGGCGAAGGGACGAGCCTGGACAAGGAGACCCATCCCTGGTTGCCTGCCCATCCACAGGCAGGCAAAGATCTTTTCATTCACAGGCTCTCAGCATCTCAGCTGATCTGCCTGCTCATTTATGACAAATGATGGCAATGGCTTCCTTTCTTTCTTTTTTTTTTAAAGGATCTCCTCAGTGAAACGGCTTGTTTTTGGTCTAATTTCACACTGAGCTATTGCTGGCCACCTTGACCATGACTTTGAGTTAAAGGGCAGGAGACTTATTCCCTAAAAGGAACGTGCAGATTGGTCCCTCCTGCTCCACCCCTCCCACTCCCTCAAAAGCAGGCAACCTCCTCCACGCCTACCAGCAGCAGCTATGTCATTGAAGATGGGCTGGGAAGAAAGGCCGTCCAACAGGAATGGGGGTTGCGATATCTGTGGGGCAGGAACTGGAGGACCTACAGGGACGACAGGGGAAAGATTGGGGGGGGCAAGGGTCAACCTAGAGCTGAGCAGGGTGAGGGCAGGAGGTGGAGCTCCACCCACACGTCCACAGCGGCCGCCCAGTCCCTTACCTGTGGTTGGGTTGAGGTCCCCCAGGAGGTCCAGCAGCTCCCCGCCAGCAGACGCTGGCTTATTGGGAGGGGCCGTCGGAATGACAGGGGTGATGTCGTTGCTTCCCAAAAGGTCGAGCAGGTCGTTCGCCTGATGAAAGAAACAAAGGCAGGGTTGTCTCCTAGCCCTGCATGGCTCTGAACGTCTGGGGTGGATGGGGAAGGAGGTTGGCCATCCTCACATCCTTCTGGAACCTCAGGGAAGGGCCAGGGTGTTTGGTTCAGGCTGGCACCATCCTTTTGTGAAACGGCACCAGCACTGCTTGTTCAGCCTTGGTAGAGTTTCCAAAAGAGGCCTTGGATTCGGGATCCAACAAAAGGTAGCAGGATCTCTCCAAGCCTATTTTGGAGGGAGTGCAGAGAGGAGGAGGAGGAGGAGGACCAGGACCGCCGAAGGGCGGCCTCTGCAGCTTCTCTTCAGGACTGCCGAAGGGCGGCCTCTGCAGCTTCTCTTACTTGGCTAGTGGGGGGCGGGCCAGACGGGGGCGGCTTGGCCTCCGGGACTGCAGGCTCTGCCTCCCCGTTGGGCTGCGTGACATCTGTGGGGCCGTTGGTGGTCACTTTCTCCATGACTGGCATCCTCTCCAGGAGCGCTGACCTGAAAGAGAGTGAGGCGGCCGGTCACCTTCGAGGGAACGTGCCGGCGACCAGGAAGAGGATTACCCGGGCACGTGTCTCTCCCAAAGAGCAAGAACAGACCGCCAGCAGAGACCCCGGCCCCTCCGTTCCATGAGAAACCACCGCAGCTCTAAATGTCCAAAGGGATGAATTCTGAAGAAGCCAAGCTAGAAGCCTGCCTGCCTCTCCTTTCTACCAGCAGGTCCCACACGCTGGTTGCCTGGTCTCCCTTCCCCACCCTCCTGACGCTCACAGTCCTGGAGATGCAGCATCGCCCCTCCACCCCCCCCACCACGGGATGCCTCTATTTGAAAGGCAAGCCTGGGGCCCTTGCAGGAGGTGCCCTGCAATCCTTGGAGCAGGTGGCTGAAGCCAGAGAGGCCCTGGAAGAAGTCAAGGCCTCCAAGGCTCAGGGCCTGCGGGCAGCTCAGCCAAGGAGACTCAAGCGGCCAGAAAGAGCGGCAGGCCATGCCTCCTTTCCCCTGTCTGTCTCGGGTGCGAGGCTCAGGCGCTCCCCTCACCTCATGTGGTCGTACTTCTTGAACAAGGCGTTGTACTCCACTGCCCTCTGCTGGAGTTCCACATCAATGCTGCTGCCGTAGATGGACACCACCTTTTTGATGCGGCTGGAGAGGGAAGGAGGCGACAGGAAATGACCAGCAGTAAAGGCTTGCGGGGTGGGGCTGGGGGACGAGGCAGCGAGGCAGGGACGACCGCTGCCTCTGGCCAGGCCTCCGCGCCCTCCTCTGAAACCCCGCAGGCTGCCTTTAACCAGGGCCAAGACACAACCGGCCACAAGGCCACTTCCTTTTTCAGGAACAGCACAGCAGAAGACCAAAGCAGGCTGGGAGGGAGGGGAGGTCCCGGCTCCTCCAGGGAGCAAGGAGAGGGAGCCCCACCCTAGGAGTCCAGCCCTTTTCCCAAGAGGAGTGCAAGCAGAGGCACTCCCCCCTGAGCCCCCCCCGTCCACTCCCAGAAAGCACTCACTTGACCGTGCAAGTGAACCGCGTGGAGAGCTTCATGATGGCCGTGAGGGCATAACCTCGCGTGACTGACGCCGACATGTTGGAAACAAGGACGCTTTCCAAAACATCAAGGACTTCATCCTCGGTGACCTAAGCAAGCCAAGGGAACAGGACAGGGTGAGGAGAACAGGCGAAGAGGAGGCTGGCAGAACGTAAAAGGCTGAATCCGGCCATTCCTAGGATGTGGCGCGGGCGACTGCAGAAAGCCTTCTGCGACCGCACAGCATTCTTCCTGGTGAGGAGCCAGGATTTCCTGCAAACGTGCCATCTTATATCCATTGGCCCACTCCAGAGAAGCAGGGTCGTGGCCTTCCTTGGGAACGTCCTTCGGCCCCTCCTTCCCGAGTAAACCTACCTGGATAGGCTCCTCCTCCTCACACTGGCCAGACACCAGAAGGTCTCCGTATTCTCCTATGCACCAGGACGCCACCTGGACCAGGGGTTGCTAGCAGAGGGGGCAAAAGGAGAAGCCGCTTCAGCAGGGCCACCCGGTAGAGCCCGTACACGCACAAGGCCGTCTCTCTCCTCTTCCCGGAGCTTACCTGGGAATAGTCGCCCAGGATGGCTTTGTAAAGCTTCTGCACAGTGTAGGCGTGCATCTCCACGCTGTTGGTGATCAGCTGGATGAGGTTGGGCACAGCATCGTCACGGACGTAACTCCCTGCCTGGAAGGAGCCGGACGGACACAAGCGCACACAAAAGACACACCCTCAAACATACAATTTTGCACACAGTAGAACCAACAGTGATCGCAGTGGAACCCCCAGAATGTTTCTGGCCCACCGCATTCGGACGAACCGACCTCAAAACAGCCCAGGTCCTTTGGGAGGCAGCACTCCTTACCGTGGTCAGGACTCGCATGATGGTGTCTATATGCCAGCGCTTTGAGGGAGCGTATCTGGAAAAAAGAGCAGATGATGCAGGCTTGTGAAGAGGACCTGGGTGACCCCAGCTCCTCCCCCGGGCCCACCTTTGGCAGCTTTACTTTCCCAAAATATGTTGGGAATTAGTCAAAAACAGTCAGGCAAACTCTGGCTGCCTCTGTTCTCTCTCTCTCTCTGTGTAAAAAATTGCTCCCTGAGGTGCACCCTGGGCTGCAAGAAAAAGCTCTCAGTGGTGGGAGGAGGAGGAGGAACCCCTGCATTTTTTGGTCCGGGGAGGCACAACAGGAGAGAGAGGCTCAACACAAGTCACATTGTGATGGGTTGCAACAATTTGCAACCTGAATTCTGAAGCTAAGCAGGGTCAGGCACGGTTAACCTTTGAATGGGAGTCCACACAGGAATATACCCGTGGTCTCTAGGTAGGGCCGGCACAGGCTCCCCACTGAAATCTCAGGCATTGCCAGAGATGACAAAGCTGGTCTAGATGGACAAATGGTTTGATTCTGTAGGAGGCATAAGACAGCCTCATATGCCCCCTTTGTCGCTGGGTAATCCTGCAGGAAGGACCAGCATCTGGCAGAAAATGAGCCTGGAAAACTCTGCCACCTTACCCCAACCGCCAAGACAGCATGAACCTGCAAGTTAAATTCTCACATGCTGTTTGTCTTGCAGGTGGTGAGAACTAACAGAGTAATGGTGGCGGCGGCAGCAGGACGAGGATGTTAGTGTGAAGGACATCTAGCTGCCCAGAGTAAACAAATTTGGGAGCTCTCTGTACAGCATACAGTAATCTCCAAGGAGAAACCGGGGCCACGTCCTTCTTGTGGCTGCCCCTTTAAGGATGCCGAAGAAGCCCTTGGAGGCAGATGCTCTTCACAGGAGACAGACAGATCTCCCGACGCACAGGCAGCAAAGAGGTGCCCCGACAAAGCCGGGCTGGATACTCAAAGAAAGCCGGCCACCTGGGGACCAGCTCTTTTATTCCTGTAGCTCCCAAACCATGGATGGTGCAGAGGATTGGGGGGGGGGAGGGGAAGTATGCTGCAGCCTTCCAGGGGAGCAACATGAGAGAAAGCAGGGCGTGGAGGCGGACCAGCTGCTAAAACAACGCTAGGTTCTGGCCTGACTTACTTCTCAGCTGCCAGAAAAATGCCCGATGCACAATCTGCCTTGAACTCTGGCTCACAGGAATCCAGGAAGTACAGCAGCTCCTTCATCATGCCCCGGATGTTGTTCCCGTTCACAAGAGCAAAGCTGAGCTCCATCGCCCGCCTGGGAAAGGGGGTAGGGGAGAAAAGGGTTCAGAAGACACGGTGCTCAGCCAATATGGTCCTGAGAACCATCTAGACCCAAGGATTGAGTATGCAATTTTCTCCTAACGTGGCCAGAAAATGCAGGAACTCTCTGGACAGCAGGACATCCCCCCCCCCAAAAAAAGAGTCCAGGGGGAGAGGAGGTGGCCAGAGACGTGCTGTGTCAGCTGGCTGAGTGTCACCATTGTGCCAGGCACTCGGCCGATGGATCACTCTCAGGTTTCATCTTCCGACAGCACATTGAGCCACTGAGGTGCTTTTCCCTTTCAGCCTAAATAATTTTTGTTTTTCCAGAGTCCTGAGAAGTTTGGGGGAAGCCACCACAGGATAGCAGAAAGGCAGAGCAAAGCTTGGAAAGGAGAAAAACCAACACCCATCAAGGCCATTTCTGGCTGATGGCAAAGACGGGATCCAAGGGAAAGAGATGGGATGACAGCCTGCACGGACCCTTGGCTTCTGGACCATCTCTGGGGCTTACAAGCCCAGGCATGCTAACCTTTTGATGGACACGTCCAGGTCCTTCAGGCAGTCCACGATGGTGCTCCGGTGCCTCTGCACAGCATTGTGGTCCGTCTGCACCGTCTTCAGCAAGGATGTCAATGCTACATATCTGAAGAGACACAGCACGGCTGATTCAGACCATGGCAGCTGCTCTGCAGTGCAGCGTGTGGGGAAGTCTCTGGCAGCAAAGGCGGGAGGAGAAAGCAGACTGGATGCTGCAGCAAACCCTTCAGGGTCAAGCCAGGTCAGGTGACTTTTTGCAGCTGGAAGGTTTATTGGGGGGGGGGGGGACGCTGCAGCGAACCCTTCAGGGTCAAGCCTGGTCAGGTGACTTTTTGCAGCTGGAAGATTTATGGGGGGGGGGCTTCTCCCTATGATCCAGTAGAGAAGCCAGAGCCCCAGTCAGGAAAGTACTACTCCAGCTGCTAATGGGAAACCTCGAAAGCTCTTGAGGTGGCCCTGAGGGATGGAGCCGAGCCTGCTCAAAACCAGGAAAGATTTTCCACCTTGTTCAAGTGTGTTCTTGGACTCACCTGATATTTTTGTCATTATTGAGCAAGAACCGACCAAGGATGTTTATGGCCAACACCTGGAGAGGGGAAAAGAAAGACAGAGACACAGGAGGTTATACCTACGGCCATTTTGCAGGTTTATATTAAAAAATCCTCCAAAAACAGACAGATCTGGGTGCAACTGTGAGAGAAGAGGATCAGGGTATTTTTCCAGACATGAGGTGGAGCCTGGATGGCCCTGCTTTACTCAAACACCAGCGTCAGGCAGAAGCGCTTAGCGGGATGCACCCAATTCCAGGCATTCTCCCTGAGTAAACAGGGAGAAGCCGTGTGGGCCAAACATTTCCAGGGCCCCAAGGAGATCCCAGCTAAAACCTAAGCCAAGCGGACGTACCCGAAGGCCACTCTCAGACTTGATGTCCATGATGGTTAAAACCGTTTCGTAAAGAATGGCGTTCCCCACATTTTTACTTGTTTCCGTATTTGTGGCCACCTGGAACACAGAAGGAGACAGACCGCCTCGCTTTGCTGCCCAAGAGAGCTACCTCCCCCACCTGCCTGCACTGAGCTGGCAAGACGAGGCACCCCCCTCCTCTGTTCCTCCACCTCACCTGGGCAAGAATGTCGTTCATGGCTTCACTCGAATCATCATCATTTCGGCCCAGAATTCTCAGCAGTCTCAGGATCCGCACCTGGGAAGAACAACGTTCTCAGCTGCAAAAGCTAGGAAGGGCTTCGGGTCCCGGTGCCAAGGGCAGCATCTGTTTTGCGGTTGATCCGGGAGGAGAAAGGATCCCACACTCTCTGGCTGGCAGACCTTCCTGCGTCTGCCCTCCTGCTGGAGACCCTACCTGCAGAAAGGGGTCACTGATCCCAGAAACGTCGTGCTCGGGAGAATAGCCGGACATGATGAGGTTCTTCAGGATGCGGACAAGCTGGGGCACAAGCTGTAAAGAAAAGACAGCCGTTCAAGAGGCCTGATCATCTGGAACGAAAGGGGGGGGAGCTCCAGGAGGAAAGACATTCTCTGTCCAGCTTCTCACCACCGCCACCCACTAACACTCAACATGCACTGCAAGGAGCACAGAGGTTTTTTAGGATCAGGCCCTTGGAGGCTGACCACACTTCTCTCTCACACACAGATGTGTGCCTTTCCCACAGCAAACAGCTGAACAAACCAGCTGGTCCATCCCTGTTCTTCTGCAAGGCCCAGAAAAGCTATAGGATGGGCAACTCATCGCGGGACTCTCCCAGAAGATGCTGGGCAGCTGTGGTGAGGCTTCTGCCGTTTGGAGCTGCTCACCCAGACGAAGCCACGCCACTAGGAAACCAGCAGCTCCTTACACTTATCTGCCCCATTGCCTTCTACAACTCTCCCGTGCAGGTCCAGGGGGGGCGCACAGCTCTCCCTGACAGTGGGAGACTAAAGATGCACGTATGCAGCCCCCACTGCTCTCTGGGGAGGGCAAGAGGAGCCTCCCTACTTCCAGGGGTCCAGGAGATGACAGCCTGCCTCTGGATGGATCTGAGCAGCCAAATTTGGCCCAACAGCATCCCAAACACAAAGGACTGAAGCCTAGCCTCTGTCCACCAGCAGCTCCACTGAACTGTATGGTTTGCTGCTCTGAGGACCCACTCAATACAGACTGTAAAGGTGGTGACATATTCTCTCAAATAGGAAACAGTAAACAAACATACAAAAAAACCACATCCCCCCAAAAAAAAGGAAAAGAAAGATAGCTTATGTTGTCCTCTAGCAATCAGCTGTATCTGTTTTCAAACGGATGAATAACCACTCAAAGCCATCACAGTTGTGAAAGCTTGGAGGGCAAGATGAGCTACAGTATGGATAGGATTTTGCTCCAGGCGCCCCGCACACCCCCCACCCCTTCAGAGGGTGGATGATTTGACTCAAAACAGAGACAGCCCCACCAAAAGCAGAGAGATGCAAAAGGTCCCCCAAGCTCTGTTCAGCACCCAAGCCGATGGGAGAGCCTGCAAGGCTGGCCTCTCAGAAGCAATGGGTCACCCATGGGTTAGACAAGCTGTCATGTTAGTAAGCGGCAAGCGACGGACAGGCCCCTGCTCTCAGGGGCCCAAGGTGAGCATGCACGGCGGGAGGGAGGGAGGGAGGGGGCGTGTGAGTGCCGCTTACCTTTTCATTCTAACCCACCACAGCAGGATTCCAAACAGATACAGGGGACAAAAGAAACGAAGCAGGCGTTAGGGAGAGGAGCGACTGCCGCAGCTTGCAGCATCAACGATCACCGCCGCCACCAGCACGAGGACAACAGAGGAGCAGCCCATGGGCAACGCCTGGGGCACCCTGGCTCTGCCCAGGAGGGAGGCCTCACGGCTTTAGCTGCTCCCTTTCGCTTTTCCCCTTGTGCAAGAGCGGCAAGAGCGGTCTGAGCAAGGTAGCTGCCACGCCGAGAGGCTGGTCACAGAGGAGGCCCTCTGAGTTCAGTGGCTGAAGCAGGTGCAGCAGGACGCCTGGCAGGGAGGACCGGGGATTCTGCTTTCCTCCCCCCTAAACCCTGACCGCTCCTGAAGAGTCACCATCGGCCAACGAAAGGAAGCTCAAGAGGTTCTTTCTGCGAGAGCTCCCAGCAGAGAGTCCACAGAATGGTGGGGAGGACCCCACCCCAGCGCACGCAGAGGGGCCTCTGGTCTTGAAGGGAGATGGGAAGTTCCACTCCAACAGCGGCCAGTGGCCAAGCCCCTCACTTCAAGGGAGGCGGGCGCCATGCTGGCGGGCTCCGAGAGCTGCCCAGAAAGGCAGACCATGCATGCAATGAGGCCACCCCGGAGAAAGGTGGGGAGAAAGGGCTTACCTTTCTGAAGTGGGCTAGCATGTCTGGGCTTCTCTCGCACATCTCTGTGAGAAGGACCACCGAAGTGTGAAGGACACCTGCCAGAGAAAGAGAAAAAGTGGCCCGGCTGGTGGGTGGGTTGGGCACCCGAGCCCCGCTGGGGGTTCAGGACGGACAAGAGAGAAAGATCCTTGTGTCTTAAGGGAGCAACATCCAGCACACTCTGCTTTTCCTCAGCTTCCCCTTGGGTCCAAGAGCCCTCCCCAGCTGCTTGACACAGTGAGCATTTACCATGATTTTTCTCATTCAGTAGATTTTTTGTGGCTGGCAGGAACATCTCCATGAGCTCAGGCACCTTCCGGATGACGTGAACAGCACAGAGGGCTGCCTGCAAAAGAACCGGGTGGGGAGGGGAGGGGAAAGGGAGCGGTCAACTCTTCCCATCATTTGTGCAGAAGGAAATCCTTGCCTACCCCCAACAGTGTGCTTCCATGGTGTCTCCCCCTCCAGCCCTGAGATTTCGGAAGAGGGCCAACAGGTTCAAAGTCAGAGGGAAGGGAACGAAACATTTTCCGGGACCCCTTCAAGGATCCCTTGCAGAGATCAGGAGGGAACGGGTGGCTGAAATGGAGCAGGCTGGAACCTTCCAGTAAGGGGTGGGGATGGGAGGGAGAGGAAGGGCTTCGGCCCTCCCCTGCAAGGGCCGGGCAGCTCCCTGCAGTTCGGAGAGGGGAAGGGCCCCAAAAGCCCTCTTGGCTTGACACGAGGGGTACCTTTTTCCTCAAGTAGGAGTTGGAGGTCTTGAGGAGCTTCTCCACCTCCCCGGCCAAGTCGCGGCACATTTCGGAGGAGCCCATGCAGCCCAGGGTGCAGAGCGCCAGGCCTTGTACGTACTGCGTGCTGTGATTAAGGTCACTGCAGGAAGAAGCAGGGGAGGGCAGGGAAGAGGGAGAAAGCGGCGCTGGAAAGGAAGGTCTCTAAGGAGGCGCTCGGCCCAGGGGTGAGTCAGATGCTCTCCAAAGGGTCGTGTTGGCGGTGGGACCTGGACTGCCCTCCAAAGGCCAACAGCCTCCCAAAACTTCCTTGTCCCAACCAGCGGTGGACACATGACACCGACCCACCCACTCTCAGGTCTCAACTGCTCTCTGGGGTCTGCTTTGGAAAAATCAACAGCAGCTCAATAGTCCCAGCAGAAAAAGGATGCCGGGGCGAGGGATTTCCTTATGTCACATTCGGTACCTGCCTACTCACAACCCCCTTCTTTCTTGACCCACAAGTCTAGATGGCCTGGTCTGGACTCCTCACCCCAAGGGATCAAAAGACCCCGGTTTTGAGCCATCAGGCACGGTGGGCGAGGGAGGCTCATTATGATGCCTCATTAGCCTGTCACCGTTCCCTTCCCAAGCCCATTGGACCCATTCCGGTCCCTATGGCTCCCTCCTTCTTCCCAGCCTTCTCCTTTCTGCTGGCAGTCCTCAGAAGAAACCTCTGATCCAACCGGGCCTCAGCACCCATTCAGCAGGTGTGCTTCCAGGCCACCCTGTTCCCTAGGCTGCCCCCTCTCTCCCCCCACCAGAGGAAGCCCTTACTTCTTGATGCAATTGGTCATCAGGAGGTGGACGTCCTGCCTCTCGTCCAGCAGCAGCATGGCTCCAAGGTAACCAATGCGCTTGTCTGTGAATTTCTGAGAGGCGATCAGTTTGAGGCACTCCAGCTGCAAAGAGAGACGGGGTGTGTGTGTTTTGTCAGAAGGAACAGGAAGCCATCACGGTGTCCACCCTGAGCAACCTGACTCAGGCCTCAACGTTCCTGCCATGGAGGCTTGCCGTAATAGTTGCGCCTCGACCATCATCCCACAGATGCCCAGTCTTTCCAGAAATGGAGACTCTGAAATAAGCAGGGTTGTCCCAACACCTGTGAGGTGACTCATCCCTGCTCACTCCAAGTTCAAAGAGGAAGTTGGAGGTCCTTTGGTTGCTTTGCCAGAAGACACCAAGGGCTTACAAAGCGCCGACAGGCCAAAATCCAGCAAGTGCAGGTAGCTCGGGTGAACTTCCAACGGTTGCTGAAACCCCCATCTCCAAATGCTAGGGCACACTTTACCTACTGAATTTCTGTCTGCCTCTCAGACGTTACAAATTTCCATGCAATTTTTATCATTGAGACCTTATTTCTATCATTCCTGGAGCCATGAGTCCAGCTGCTGAGTTCTGTCTAAATAGAGAACGTGGCGTGACAGCTGCCAAATCCTGTATGTCGAATCTTATTTCCCAGGATGTACCTGCTATGAGTCTTGCCCCCCCTCTCCATCCCAAAGGACTTAGCAACCACTTCTCTACATGAGAGTCACTGCTAGGGGAGGGTCAAAGCCAAACAGCTGCCCTGAGCCCAAGTAGCTCAACGTGCAAAGAGCCCAAAAGAAGGATGAAAACACACTCATATAGAAGTAGGTACATGTTTGATGCTAAATCCTATGTAGGGAATGGCATAAGACGACTTCAGGCATATGAAACACACTGTTCAAATGTAATTGTGGCCTACACCATTGGAAAGGTGATATTCAAAGGTATCAGCAGAAAGGAAACAGAATACTAAAATAATTTAACTTCTTTCCCCTTAAAACAAAACAAACCACCCTGTTTGGGCTTAGCTAACAAACCCAGCCCAAAATTTCAGGCACTTGTTCACAATATTACGTAACATCAGGAAAAACAAGCTGAGCTCTCATTCAGCTCAGGGTTGTGAAGGAGGCTAGAGTCGGAAGTCATCATCATCACAGAAACACAGAGCTGGAAGGGAAGCTGTGGTTTATTGAGTCCAGCCCGTCAAGGAGGCCTAGCGGGGAATCGAACTCCCAACCTTTGGCTCCACAGCCACAGACCTCAACCTTGAGCTATCCAGCAATTACCAAAGGCAAAGGAAAGACAGATTGAAATGCTGGCATGCCTACTGCTTTTTTGCCCCATGGAGAGGGAGAACCTTGCTAAAAAAAAAAACAACAATGTTGGTTATACTTATAAACACATCTGCAACTAGTTATAAAACTTGGTTAAGAGGAAGGCCCTGCAGAGAGTAATGTTGTTGCTCATCTAAGTTGCCCATGGCCAAGGTTGACAACAGAAGTTGTGGGTGAATTGTTGTGTGCATGACTTTCTATCTCATCCACAAATCCTGCCAGCCACTGACCACCTGTTTATCACCAAAAAAAGAGATATCCTGGCTCTTCCCAGTCATTATGACTGTAGGAGCACAATGCCTATACACTTAAAAATGTCAGATCACCCAATAGGTTGTTCATTCTGCTTTCGAAATCCAGACAGAAAAGATGAAGTCAAGTAGCATCCATCTGAGGCTAGAACAACACCCTTCAAATGCTTAATGCACTGACTGCTCCACCAAGGAGAAGACTACATGGCTATCGCACAAATCCAAGTCAAGTAGCATCCATCCGAGGCTAGAACAACACCTTCAAATGCTTAATGCACTGGCTGCTACACCAAGGAGAAGACTACATGGCTATCGCAACAAGCTGGACTTCCTTGGGCTAATTCTTTTTTTAAAAAATCATTTTTAATGGCAATAGGAATTGGAGTAGATGGTTCAGGGGGCAAGGGGGGAATAGGTATGAGTGGGGAAAGGGGTAAAAAGTTCTAATTCTGACGTGCTGTGTGAATTCTCAAGACAACTTGGCAGGAGGAGTAGCCAAAGAAGAGCAACACCCTCAAGCCTGGGAGCCAGTGAGGCTGCGATCTGCTCCATCCCGGCTTGCATCCTACCTGTGGAGCTCAGCTCGGAAACCCGAGCTGGCTGAAGCTCTGTGTCAATCTATTTATAAGGAGGAGGAGGAGAAACCCCGACACCAACATATCCATTTCATCAACAGAGAAAGAAAGAAGCCAGGGGACAAAAGGGAGCTCACTCATCCTCACACTCTTCCAGTTTCCAGTGATCTGGACCCAAGGAGGGGTCTTATAACTGCCCTGATGCTCCTCGGGTTCCCAAATCAAAGGGGAGACAGCAATGGTCTTTCCTCTGTCTGTCTTCTCTTTCTGGCTCTGCTTGCCCCCAGGAATGAATGGCCCACTAACCACTGAGACAGTTTGAAGGGGCCACAACACTTCTAGGAGGAGCAAAAGTGTGAGCAGAGCCATGAGACTAAGATGGACGGCTTCCTTATATTTCAGTAAGCTCACCACATCGAAAAAGCCAGGCAGAAGCACATGGAAGTGAACACATCCAAACTCTCAAAGGTTTTCCTATAGGCCTTTCCCCATCCCATCCACAAAACAAAACAAAACCTTGGGAGATAGAAATGACTACCACGCCACAGAAGCAAATCTCCTGACATTCTCCAAAGGCTCCCGTTGTCGTCTGAATGCGCAATAAAGTTCCAGTAATCGCACGACCCTTCATGCCAGGTTCCTGCACATAACATCATTCTTCCCCCAAAAGGGAACTTGCTATTTCTACCACAAAGACGTATCTAATACTTCCCTGGAGGACACCTCAGCGGCTTTCTGCAGACAGCAACTCCGAAGGTCCTACTTCATGACACTATAAAGCCTTTCTTCCTAAACACCCAAAATCTAGGTTTAAACAAAAAGGTTCATCTGCTCCCGCAGGACAAAAACCCACCTGTCCAAAGTGTGCAGGATAGCCTAGCATGTGCATGTATAGCAACTTGGCGACGTTCCGGCACCGGTACGTGTTGTCCTCTTCTCTGAAAGAGGATCGAATAGCAGCACATTCTTTCTGGATCATCTCCCTTTCTTCCGCCTGGGTCCGCGCTGTCCGGATGGTCCGGATCAGCTCCCGGAGTCTGATGGGGGCTGGCATCCTCTGAAGGGGGGGGGAAGAGAAAAAAAGGCAGGGAAAGAGGAGGATTAAAACTTGTCCAGGCAGTCCGTAAAGATGTACAACTGGTAAGGTCTCCCAGATGACCTTGGCTGAACTGTCAGGATTCCTCTTGCGGTGGTTCATTCCGGGTTGCTATCCCAGGCCTAGAGGCTCAGTACACACAGAGGGAGTGAAGCATATGTGTCAATTAAAAATGCTTTGGGGGGGAAATCTGGGGCTTCAGCCAGTTCGGTCACTTTGGATTTGTATCAGCCGTAGGATAAGTCTGTTTAGTCCTATATTTACTATTATAAACATAGCCACTGGAAATCAGCATTCTGGCTCTAATGCTGCATTGTTTCTGCTTGGACCTGAAAATGGTAAACGTGAGCAGCCTGTATCAGAAATATCTGACCCTTTCTAGTGTCTTGTATTGCAAACATGCCTAAGCAGTACTCAGAGTTCCGGACTAGTCAAATACCCAAAGCCGAAATCAAATAGTTATCTGGGTTTAGCACAATTCCTCACGAATAAGGAAGTGAAACTAGAAGTTAACTTCTACACTGCCAAAGATCTCGCCCTTGTAAATTTCACAGGAAAGTCTCCCATCACTCATGATCCCTCCCACACCCACTAGACGTGTTGCTTTTTGAATGGCTCGAATGTGCGGCAGTTTTTAAGGAGTGGAGCTGCCAAAACAGGATGCCCACGTGTCAAAACTCCAGAACACAGCACCTTCCCTTGTCTTCCCACTCCTTTCCCAGAAGGACTGTAAGTTGCTGCTTTCACTGGATTCCTAAGGTGGGGATTTCATATGCAGGAAAGAATACGATCCTTTCTGCCCCAGCTATAGCCAAATCCAGAGCTGGGGCTGAGAAACCTTTGACCCAACAGTGGGCCACTGCAAGCACATGCTTCTCCCAGACTAGCATCAGACACCACAGCTATTCTTCCCCAACTTGAGGGTCAGGAGGGATTTTTGAAAAATGGAAGGTTGAAGTCCAAACAGTGACACCACTGCTAGTGTGATACCGGAAGACAATCAGTTGATAAAGCTCAGCAGTCACTTTTTAAGCATTCTTAAACTATCTGGCCCTAGACAAAGGTCTATTTTAGAAACCTTAAAGAAAACTACCTGGCCCTAGACAAAGGTCTATTTTAGAAATGCTTTAGCAACATACGACGCCTCGCAGTTGACGGAGGGTCTGTGACAGTGCAAATTATGATGGAACGGAAGAGATGGTCAGAAATAGCACCTCCCAGAGTTCTCCAGTGAGAGACTGGAGAAAGTGTTAATCATCATCAATTGGGATCCACACTTTATCTGTGCAAGCTTGACTGCATATGGATTTGAAATGTCTCAAACAGCTACCAACTGTGTTGGTGAGAGACAGATAAGCCACTATCTTTCTTCCCTTCTCTGAGTAGTGAAATCCACTTGTTTCCAGCCAAATACCACCTGTTTCCCAGAAGATTTTCAAAGAGCCTCCTCACACCCAACTCCCGGGGCTGTTAAAAGCAACAACAACAAACCACCTTGAACAGCCTGAAAACAACAGCCTGGAAGTACTTTTTTCCAGTAGATTTGTGGTACTTAACAGGTCACTCTGCCTTCGGAAACCAAAGTCCCCTTAAATTTGCGGTTTGCTTTTTAAAAACATAACCGGTCACTAAGAAGCACAAAGGGGGGGGGGTTCAGTTAAACAAAGCCTTTCAAATTAAAAACAGTTTTGTGGTGCACCGAGTGCTCGAAGCACTGCAATCCTCCAAGATCCAGAAATGGCCTTTGGTGGACCCGGGACCTGTGGGGTTTCCCGCCCTCGTCCTACAGCAGCCTCTTTCTGTTTAACTAAATGTTTGGACTTTGCTTCCAAAATAAAATGCAAAGCACAAGCACAACCTGTTCCACACTTCAGTACGTTCAGTCATTTCTTTTCTGGCTACTGAAAACCAGGCATCCTTTGTAGTCCCCCCCCCCACCGCAAGGCACAGACTTGAGGAAGGGGCTTTTGGCCTCACTTTACTGGCTAAAGGTGGGACGCTTGTATCCTCATTCACATGCAGAGGCTTCCTTTGCTTAAGCAGCCAGGTTCCTTCTGCACTTTGGATAATAACCAAGCCCACGACACCCACATTCACACCAAATACTCCCTATCTGGATACAAGTCCTTTTTATTTTACATTGTAAAAGAAACAGTGTTTATCACCTGCTGAGTAAAAGGGTGACTGTATATCAATAAAACCGTGCTGATTAAAAGCCAGCGGGCAATGCCATATCAGGTCCAAAGCAGTAAAACACAGTTACTAGAGTCTGGCATTGCTTGAATGTGACGGCCAAACTTCCCCACCAGTTCATGTGTTGGCAGAGAAGCAGAAACAGTTCCCGTTTCTGGATTTCACCCATCCCCGCTATGGCCTTGCTGGAAGCCCTCATTTCTTCTGATTTGCTTACTGCCAACTCTGTGCGGATTCTTTAGAATGAAAAGCAACGGCCTTAACTCTACAGGGTAGGTGGGAGGGAGGTTACGGTGACTAGCAGAGGACAACTGTAGCCTTGACAACGTCAAGCTCAGTCTCCCGTGACTGTACTGTGGCCGCGAACAAGACGCTCGGTTTGTTGTGGCCTCCTACTACAAACCAAACCCCCCCTCCAAAGTACGTATCACGTTCACCATGTTGCATTAGTTAACCTCAATTTCCATCTGGCTTGCTTACTACCAACTCTACGCTTTTGCTAGATTCAGGACCCCACATTCACTGAGGCAGGAAGTGTTTGGGCAACTTCAAAGAGCCCCGAGGGGGTTACCACCTCTCTTTTACTAGAGGACTGGGGTGTGTGGAAACCTTTCCAGTGAAGGGCTTGGCCAAACAGACTTGTGAAGAGAAAAGGGCTCTGCTCCTTAAGGAGCAACCCAGAAGACAAGCAGCCTGATTATGGTCAAGGAAAGCAATCTTTTCTGCCACTTTCTCCTCACTGCAGCAGCCCCAAATCCCAGCAAGGTTCCTCTTCTCTGCTGCAGAGAAAGCAGCTAAATTAGAACAGAAAAGAGGGAGCTGTTCTACCAAGTTCCCCCAAGCAACTTGAGACAGCAGCTCCCAATAGACTGGTCATTCTTTCCTCCCCCGCGGCTGCAGTTTTGCAAGTGTGGCCCCTCTTTGCCTTACACAGCATCCCTTTAAGGAGGAAGCAATGGTGAGGTGAAGTGCAAGAAATTGCTACGAACAGTAAAATGCATCCCTTTAGACTTTGCTTCCTGCGAATGATTTCCGGTCAACCAGATTGCCTCTTTACCTTCACCTGAGCAAACTTTGTGCTACACTCTCTGCGCCGTCATTTCCACAGCTACACACCCCTATAGAGGCATCCACTTTTTGCTATCATGTGTAAATAAGCAGGAGATACGCAGACAGGAGAGCTTACTGAGATTATTGAGAGTTGCCAATATCTGCTCCCTCTCCAGCTGAATATCCAGCTGGTACCAGGAAGCACGTCTTGTTTAGGGCTTTCAAAATCTTATCATTAAAGTAAGAAAATGCCCCTGCCTTCCTCTTCTTTCTGACAAGAGGCTCTCCCAAGCAGCCATATGACCTTCTTCGCAGACAGACAAAAAGGGTCTCGAGGCTGTGCTATTCAAAGATACAGCACGCGCAGGTGTGAAAACCTTTAGGACATTTCTCTCTCCCGCAAACAAACCAGCTTTCCCCCAGGCCCAGTGAACCGCTAGGTACACCTGAAGATGCCGTATGGCTCAAACAGAGCCATGGTTGCAGGGCGGAAAGGAAATTACTGGGAACTCTATGAACGACTAGGAAATGCAATTATAACAAACATACACTATCTCTACTGTACTACTTTACATGTCATATATATGCGCACAGAGCAGCCACTTGACATCTAAGTAATCATTCTTTTGCAAAATGTTCCTCTTGCAACAGACCATAACAACCTCCAGTTCACAGACCTGATCTGGCCTCTGGACGGAGAGAACACAAACTGCGCCTGTCCTTGAAAGCAGATCACCCCCCTCCCTTTCCCTGAGCAGGTAAGAAGGTGGGAACATGATCTTGATACCTGTCAATCATGCAGCCTTGTGTCACTTAACCTGTGGAAAGTCTAGGGTAAGGGAACCTGCTCCCATCACCCAGCTTTGTGACATAAGCCTTGTCTACTGCTGGGAAATGTCCCACAAACTCCTGGGAAACATACTTTGGAAGGCTGGGAACACAAAAACTCACCTCAATATATTTAAGTTTCCTCCAACTATCTTTGGTTCTAGTAAGGAAACACTCAGAGAACAAAACAAACAAAAGAACTTTTTCAAGGTGATCAGCTCTTCACATTGAGGGTTGCCCCGCCATACTCAAGGTGAAGGAACTCAGGATAGATACAAAGCAATACTAGGGAAGGGATGAGGGTAGAGGTGGCAAGAGGGGAGAAGAGACGAAGACTCCAGATGGTGCCTGGATCACACCTCAATGCACCTTGAAAACGCTGACTCTGGGGGAAGGTAACATTTGGGCCCCTCTTCCAGATATGCCACTCAAAATGTAGCCCAGGATGAGTAACAGAGGCCTTCCAGATATTTATGACCTGCAACTCCCACCATACATAAACTTGTTGGTTAGGGGTGTTGAAAGCTATACTGCAAAGATGTCTGTAGAGCCACAGTAGCCCACTTTGAAATAAACTTCTGAATATAAGCTGCAGAATCTTTCAGATGAGGTCCATTTAGAGAACACCTTTGACACCAGAACTCCCAGACACTGCTGCCTCTGCAGAAAAATCAATGATGTCACAAGACACACACTTGTGTATCTAAAAGCCAGTCCTGTCAATAATATGGGTCTGGATACGCACATCAGCATACAATGACATAGGGCATCAAGTGAAATATTGGAATTGGGGTAGAGAGAGACAGTGTACAAAGTTTTGCTTGCTTAACTACAAATACAACTTACAATGTACTGTGCAGCCATACATTGTTAGCATTAACAATGGAGCAGCTATATTAAAGTCTCAGTCACGTCATCCAGAAACAATAAAGGATCCACACATTATATGGCACTAGAAGAAAACAAGGGCTTTTCCTATACAGACATGTGCACTTCCTCAATTTGAATGTCACTTGATTCTGTTCAGCTTTAGCACACTTGCTCTACAAGGCATCTCAGCTACTGTATTAAGTTGGCAGGACAGTCTTTTCAGCAGAAGGCACCAGAGACCTTTAAGGGAGACGTACGTTTCATTTTATTTTTGCTTACAACCAGCCTTCTCTTAAGTAAAATTAACAGCAGTGCTGTACACATGGCTCTGCTTTACTAGAATGGGGTAAACATACACTTGTTTTATTTTCTACCATTTTTCTTGATTTCTTTGCTCTTTCTCAGCAGCATATTGTTTGTGATTAGCGGCTCTGCTGGCTCTCTTTGATAGTACCATGACTTGAAAGTTATTTACTGTATTATGTATTGTCAAGTTGAGTGATGGAAAGTGGTGAGATAACCTCCAGTTAATTTATATAGATAAAAATACTAAGCAAAGACTGTCTTACCAAACTATGTCCCTTAAAATCAAACAAAAAGAAGAGGGTGCAGCACAAAACAGACGCAGGCTTCCTCTGACTGTCTAAAACTCCACAGCTCCCTCCCCACAAACTTCTGGAGAGCGACATGTTTCATGATATGGCTGGAATCCAGGGTTGAGGCAGAAATTGCTCAAACCTTTCTATTATTTCACCTTCCTTCCTGTTAGAAGAAGCAGGTTCTGTCACCCACAGAATCAATGCCAGTCAGTGAAAGGCCCTGCAAGGTCATCTAACTTTTACCTTCCTACTTCCTCCCCTCCTTTCATAGGCATGAATAAGACCACAGAATGAAGGTCTCTGAGGGACAAAAAGAAACAAAGACGGAGGGAAAAAAACGCCCAAATTCATGCCTTTCAAAAAGTCCCCTTTCCTTCCTGTTCTGTCTTCTATTCAGGAACCTCAAATACCTTTCTGTAAAAATAAAAGCCACCAATGACAAAGATTTTTTAAAAGCGTGCATTTCCGACCTGCCTTCTTACTCTTCCACGCTCCACCTGAACACAGCCCTTCCCTTCTTAAGGGCTTGGCACAGATGTGATGCAGGAGGCGTGCTGCTTCTCGGAGGAAGTGCCAGCCCAAGCCCTAAGACAAGCCTCAAAGGGGCACAGCGACGTCCATCCGCCGCCTAGGCTTGCGTGCATCCACTCTCTCTCTCTCTGTGTCTCATTCATTCATATTCCCCGTGCACCAAACGGTCTCCAACTACAGCAGGCAGGCAGGCAGCCAAGCGACGCCCCAGACGGGAGCTATTTTGACGGCGTGGAGAAGCCCCGTGTCCTGGAGAGGCCAAGCCTGCAGGGAGGCTGTGGCCCTCCGCCCCTGACAGGCTGACAACACCTCCAGCAGCCTCCTCGGGGAGCCCGGTTAGCCGCTCCTCCGGCAGGCAGGGCCCCGCCGCCGCCTCCTTCCCGGGGAAGCGTCGCTGCTCGAAAATATCACGACGCCCAAACGCGAATCCAGGCGGCCCGAGAGGCAGGGCAAAGGCAGGCCGGGGACCGGGTTGCAGACCGCCAGAGCCCAGCCCGGGGGGGGGCTCCGCCGGGCCCCAAGGAGAGGGGCGGCCGCCTGCTGTCGGGGACCCAGAAGGGCCGCTCCCGGGCCAGCTGTGTGGCTGGCAGGAGCTCAGGCCGGGCCCGGGAGGCGGCCGCACGGGAGGGGAAACCGGAGCCTTGCCTCCTCTTCCACCCCCCCTCCCCAAAGAGACGGCGGGGCCCTCAGCTGGCAGGGCTTGGCCAGCCTCGGGAGGAAGGGAAGCCAGGGAGGTAGGCCGGCCGGGCCTTGCCCCCTGAGACGGAGGACCTGGTGAGGGCCCCCAATACCCCTCTCCCGTGCCCGGCGCGGCGCGGCACTCACCGGGC